GCACATGCCTGTAGTCCCAGCTACTCAGGAGGCTGAGGTGGGAGGATCGCTTGAGACCAGGAAGTCAAGGCTACAGTGAGCCATGTTCCTGCCAATGCACTCCAGCCTGGGAGACAGAATGAGACTCTGTCTGAAAAACAAAAAACAACAACAACAACAACAAAAACACCTGCTGCATTCTGAATGCCTGGTCAAGGACAGAAGGCACTGATTAACCAGTAGTAGGAATCCCAGTGGTAGAATTTCAGGAGCAAAAAATTAAAGGGAGGCTTAGATGTCAATTTGGCCCATACCCATCAAAGCATGTAGCAGCAAGGCCAATTGTAATTAAGAGTCACTTTTTAGGCCGGGCGCTCATGCCTGTAATCCCAGCACTTTGGAAGGCCAAGGCGGGCGGATCACAAGGTCAGGAAATCGAGACCATCCTGGCGAACACGGTGAAACCCTGTCTCTACTAAAAATACAAAAAAATTAGCCGGGCATGGTGGTGGGCGCCTGTAGTCCCAGTTTCTCAGGAGGCTGAGGCAGGAGAATGGCGTGAACCCTGGAGGTGGCAGAGCTTACAGTGAGCCGAGATCGCGCCACTGCACTCCAGCCTGGGGGACAGAGCGAGACTCCGTACCAAAAAAAAAAAAAAAAAAAAAAAAAGCGTCACTTTTTAAAAGGTAAAAAAAACCAGGCTGGATGCAGTAGCTTAAGCCTGTAATCCCAGCACTTTGGGAGGCTGAGGTGGGCAGATCACCTGAGGTCAGGAGTTCAAGACCAGCCTGGCCAACATCGCGAAACCCCGTCTCTACTAAAAATACAAGTATTAGCCAGGCATGGTGGCACACGCCTATAATTCCGGCTACTCGGGAGGCTGAGGCAGGAGAATCGCTTGAACCTGGGAGGCAGAGGTTGCTGTGAGCCAAGAGCGTGCCACTGCACTTCAGCCCGGGCGACAGAGCGGGACTCTGTCTCAAAAAAAAAAAAGTAAAAAAACAGAGGGAAAAGCAATTCCTGCATCAAAATTTTACCGTTAAGAGGAATTCTATTCTCTAAACTAAACAGGCTACAACACATTCATCATCTGTTTGGATTTTTTTTTCTTCTTTTTTTTTTTTTGAGACAGTCTCACTCTGTCACCCAGGCTGGAGTGCAGTGGCGCGATCTTGGCTCACTGCAAGCTCTGCCTCCCAGGTTCACACCATCCTCCCTGCCTCAGCTTCCCAAGTAGCTGGGACTCCAGATTTAGCCCACCACCACACCTGGCTAATTTTTTGTATATTTTTTCTAGTAGAGACGGGGTTTTACCGTGTTAGCCAGGATGGTCTCGATCTTCTGACCTTGTGATCCGCCCGCCTCGGCCTCCCAAAGTGCTGGGATTACAGGCGTGAGCCACCGTGCCTGGCCTTTTTGAGTTTTTTTTTAAGAGATGGGGGTCTCGATAAACTGCCCAGGCTGGTTTTGAAATCCTGGGCTTGCGATCCTCCTGCGTCCGCCTCCCCAGTGGAGTAAGGACTACATGCATGCACCACCCCAAACACATTAGTCCTTCAACAACAGCGTTAAGATGTTGAGGATACTGGGTCTAATCCCTCAAAGAGACTATACTCTAATTGAGGTGACAGATAGACATACAAACCTGTGAGCACACACTGTTATGAAAGGCCCAGGATGCTCATTTATTTATTTATGTATTTTTAAACAAATTTTTGAGACAAGGTCTCAAGGTTGGAGTACAGTATCACAAATATAGCTCACTGCAGCCTTGACGTCCTGGGCTCAAGTGATCTTCCTGTCTCAGTCTCCCACATAGCTGGGACAACAGGCGTGCACTACCACATCCAGCTAAATTTTTTTTCTTTTCGAGGTGGAATTTTGCTCTTGTTGATCAGGATGGAGTGCAATGGCGCGATCTCGGCTCACCACAACCTCCGCCTCCTGGGTTCAAGTGATTCTCCTGCCTCCGCCTCCTGAGTAGCTGGGATTACAGGCATGCGCCACCAAGCCTAGCTAATTTTGTATTTTTAGTAGAGATGGGGTTTCTCCACGTTGGTCAGGCTGGTCTCGAACTCTTGACCTCAAGTGATCTGCCTGCCTTGGCCTCCCAAAGTGCTGGGATTACAGGTATGAGCTACCGCACCCAGCCACCCAGCTAATTTTTAAATTTTTGTAGAGATGGGGTCTCATTTTGTTGGCTAGGCTGGTCTCGAACTCCTGGGCTCAAGTGATCCTCCTACCTCAGCCTCCTAAAGTGTTGGGATTACAGGTGTGAGCCGCCATGCCCGGCTCCAGGATGCTCTTTTAATAGCAAAGAGCAGTAATGCCTTTCCTCCCTCCATACTTTCCTTCTTGCAGTCCTGTCTTCTACATTAGGATAATCTCCACCCTATATTTGATTTCTGCATATTCAAATCCCAATTACTCCTCAAGGCCCCAAACCAAAGCAAACTCTTTCTTCTTCATGACTCTCCTACCTCAGAGCAGAAGGAATGCCAGCCTCCTCTGCACTAAGCACCGGAATCTGCAATCCCAAAATCCCATTCCATCCTGACAACCACCCAGCAAAGGACATTTTCCTGCCATTTTTCATCAATTATAAGACCACCCCCACCCCATGATTTTTACAACGAATAGTTGTTGACATCTGGATGGTATCCTTATCATTAAGATTAGTGGCATTTTTTCTTTCTTAGTGGTATATTACATAATGGTACATCTCATAATCAACATTATCTTAGATTAGCTGAAATATGAAATATGGTATTCCTATTCTGCAAATGAAAGTAACGTGTCCTAAGTCACATATGGCCTGCTAACAAGTGGCAAGGCCAAAGCCCTGTTCTAAAGATAGATCTACTTGACTATAAAGACTGTGGCTCTTCACTGCCCCACTGCCCACCTCTGACAACCCACAGCTCTCTCTTCTAATGGCACTTAGCACTTACTACTTCATTTTACAGTTAGTTGTGCTTCTGATCTCTCTTCCCAGTCCTGCCCAGTTAAGACTGTGGACTTCTTAAAAAACAATGGAATTTGCTAATCCTAGGATAAAATAAAGTGTGTAAAACAGGACTGGTGTAGTGGCTCACGCCTGTAATCCCAACACTTTGGGAGGTCGAGGAAGAAAGATCACTTCAGCCCAGGAGTTTGAGACTAGCCTGGGCAAAATAGTGAGATCTTGTCTCTTTTTTTCTTTTTTTTTTTGTGACGGAGTCTTGCTCTGTCGCCCAAGCTAAAGTGCAGTGACACGATCTCGGCTCACTGCAAGCCCCGCCTCCTGAGTCCAAGCACTTTTCCTGCCTCAGCCTCCCAAGTAGCTGGGATTATAGGCGTGCACCACCTCGTCCAGCTAATTTTTTTGTATTTTTAGTAGAGACGGGGTTTCGCCATGTTGGCCAGGCTGGTCTCAAACTCCTGACCTCAAGTGATCCACCCACCTTGGCCTCCCAAAGTGCTGGGATTACAGGCGTGAGCCACTGTGCCCAGCCACCTTTTTTTTTTTTTAAATAGAAAAACCAAACAAAAAAAATGTGTAAATCACACAACAAAGCACCTAGGACAGAAGCACTTAATACAGCTGTGTCTGCCAGACAGAAAAAGTGTTGCCTGTAAAGAAAAGTGTGCATCTATACACCCACAATGTCCCTGTGAATTTCCTTCTTTAGTTCGCTACCTCATTTGTAGACAGAAGCAATGCCAGGCCTGCCTCCCTCACAGGGTTGTGGTACGGTTTCACATCAATTAAGAGAGGATGGACAATTATTACAGTTCCTGAAAGGACTCCCCTATCTCTATTCTTGCTCCCCACAGTCCATTTTCCACACAACAGCCACAGTGATCTTTTAAAATTGCAAACCAGATCATAACACTTCCTGGCTTAAAACTCTACAATGTCTTTGTCTTGTACCTAAAAATAAAGCCTAACTTCTCTAGCACGGCCAATAAGGCCCTGCATGACCTGAAACTGGCTGGTTCTCTGATCTCATCCCTCTAGCCTCCTTTTTCTTCAAGACATCTGACTGTGTATGTGGCAGCTAATGTATGAATGGGTCTCCCGACCATCCTCTACCCGTAAGCTCTCCATTCCTCCCTTCTCGGTGTAACTTGTAACTCTGCCACAGGGCCCTTGCACTTAAAGTGCACTTTCCCAGAACTTCACACAATCATTTGAGTCCGTTTCAATATCCTGCACTTTTCCTTGGCCCCGATTAAAACAGCGCCTCCTCAAAGTCACAATGTACTATTGTAACTAGGACCGTATTATTACAAGATCTTCATAGCTCTTTTCATCCTTTGAAAACTAATTTATTTTTTAATTTTTTATTGATGAGGTCATGCCCTGTCACCCATGCTGGGAGCAGTGCTCCGATCATAGCTCACTGAAGCCTCGAACTCCTGGGCTCAAGTGATTCTTCGCCTCACCCTCCCGAGTAGCTGGGACCACAGACACGCGCCCGGCTAATTATTTTATTTTTCTGTAGAGATGGGGTCTGGCTGTGTTGCCCAGGCAGGTCTCGAACTCCCGGCTTCAAGCGATTCTCCCGCCTCGGCCTCCCAAAGTGCTGGGATTACAGGCCTAATCCACCCGGGTGTGACCCGGCCGAAATTATTTTTATTTATTGTCGTCTGTTTCACCCAGTAGGCTGTAACCTCCACTAAGGCCCCTGTCTGTCACGATTTCTGCTACAATCCAATAAATAATGCCTGCACACAGGAGGCGATCCAAAAATATTTACTGAATGAATGACTGAATGCCTTGCCTACTCCTCTAAAGACCAAACGGGTTCTATCCAGCCCAAAAGACACACTCCATCTGGCCGGTCATAGCCGGATCGAGCCCGCCGAGCCCTGGAGTCGAACTCCGCCCTGCAGGGTCCTCACCGTCTGAAACCATGGCTGTCCCAGCACCTCAGCGAAGAACAGGCGGTGGTCAGGCGAGCGTCTCAAACGCTACGCAGCCCAACATCCGGCGCCGCCAAGTGACGCACAAGGTGCTTTGACTCATGCCAGCCCCCTAAGCTGCGGAAGTGGAGTGCGGAGGTGCGCCGGTTGTGGGGTACGGAAGTGCGCCACGGCAGTGCGCCGGAAGTGTGGTGCGGAGGTGTGCGGTGCGCTGTCAGACTGGCTGGGAGGCGGCGCGGCCGGCGGACCCGTTCAAGACAGCGCGGGCGGCTCGGGTGCCCTGGGGCTCCGCCGCAGGAGGACGCCATGGACGACAAGGGTAAATCAGGACAGGCCAGGGCTGCTAGGCTACAGCAGAGCCGTTCAGGGGTCCCCCCAACCTCTCACATCCAGGCTGAGCTCCCGAAGAGATTTCTTTTGAACTTCAGGCTGCTCCAGTGGATGTGTTTCCTCGAGTCACAACTAAATCCCCCGCGCTGCTCTAGTTTTCAGGGATGCGCCCTGACGGTATTTGCAGGCACCCCTCCCACACATACGCTCCTTCCCGGTGCCCGTCTCCAGAAGGGCCTTCGCAGTTTCGATTTCCTTATATGTGAACTAGGAGTAAGACTCCCTGCCTTGTTGTATCTGTCATTAAAATGAGAATGAATAAGGCATATTTGATGTGCTCATCTAGTATGCTTATTAAGTGAAACACAAGGGCAAACTAATATACTTTTCATGTAAAGAAATAAAGGGGAGTGGGTGGAACTCCATATGTATTTGTAACATATATGTGTATGTGAATAGACTTGTATTAGCATAGACTGTCTGGAGGGGTGCAGGAGAAATTGGCAAGGTGGTTGACTCTGGGATCCTCTCAGATCTTAGGGCCAAGGTTGCTGAAGAGAGAATGACTTTTCATCATCATTTACTCGGGCTTAATTTTTAGACCTTGCACACCAGTAGCTTTTTCAAAATAAGAAAGAGCTCTTGCAAACAGCAAAGTGGTGTTTTCTCTATTCCTATCAACGTTTATTGCATCCCTGAAACTAAATACCCTAAAAAGAAAGTATTTTTTAAATTATTTGCTTCTTAAAGTCAGCAGTCATTAACAAGCTCTCTTGCCTTACATGCTGCTAAATGAATTAGATGAATCGCTTTTTTCACTTTTTCCAGAGTTAATTGAATACTTTAAGTCTCAGATGAAAGAAGATCCTGACATGGCCTCAGCAGTGGCTGCCATCCGGACGTTGCTGGAGTTCTTGAAGCGAGATAAAGGTATAGAGAGTCATCTGTTAACACTCTGGGATTTAGGAAAGTCTTTTTTTAAAAAAAAAGAGACGGAGTCTCGCCCAGGCTGGAGTGCAGTGGTGCAATCTTGGCTTACTGCAACCTCCGCCTCCTGGGTTGAAGCAATTCTCCTGCCTCAGCCTCCTCAGTAGCTGGGACTAGAGGCACACGCTGCCATGCCTGGCTAATTTTTTTGTATTTTAGAGACAGGGTTTCACCATGTTACCCAGGCTGATCTCGAACTCCTGAGCTTAGGCAATCTGCCTGCCTTGGCCTCCCAAAGTGTTAGGATTACAGGCGTGAGCCACTGTGCTCAGCCCTTTTTTCTTTTTTCTTTTGAGACAGTTTTGCTCTTGTCTCCCAGGCTGGAGTGCAGTGGCACGATCTCGGCTCACTGCAACTTCTGCCTCTCAAGTTCAAGTGATTCTCTTGCCTCAGCCTTCCGAGTAGCTGGGATTACAGGCATGCACTATCACACCTGGCAAATTTTTTTATTTTTAGTGGAGACGGGGTTTCACCATGTTGGCCACACTGGTCTTAAATCCTGACCTCAGGTGATCTGTCCGCCTCACCCTCCCAAACTGCTGGGATTACAGGCATGAGCCTGTGTTCGGCCAGGAAATTCTTCTCATGACTCTTCGAAATGTAGAAAGTGAGAGATGCATGTTTGCCTGCATAAAGTAGTACAGCTCCAAGCTCAGTTTCTGCCTTCATTTCAGACTTCAATCTGGAGAGAGCCCTTACGTTGTCATCAAAAGGATCCCTATCATAAGTGAAATATGCTTTGAATCAAGAGTGACTATTTTATATTGTGTTAACCATGATGCTTAAATTACAGTAGCAGTTCAGCTTTATAAGTGTTTATTAGGCCTCCACCTTGTGCCAGATTCTGTACAGATGTTACAGGGAATGTTCCAGAATAAATTCTGGTATTAGTATTATTTATTGTGATCCCCTAATTCAGCACCCTAAACGTTAGCATCTAGGTATAGCATGAAATCTTGTATAGGCAAAATAATAATAAGGCCTTTAATCTGAAGGGCAGGCCTAGAGACGCTTGTCTCTAAGGCAACCTCCAGTGTCTTCCCATTGTTCTTAAAATAACATCCAAACAACCTTAGCCTCACCCATACCACCTTGCAGAACTCATCTGCCGCTGCTACTCAATGTGTTTCCACGCCTCAGCCTCCCAAAGTGCTGGGATTACAGGCGTGAGCCACCATGCCTGGCCACCCGGCTTTATTTCTATGTGTGCTTGTTTACTATCCGCTTCCTCTATTAGAATCAAAACTCCATCAGATCATAACCCTAGGGGCCTGTCTTGTTCACTGATGTATCCGTCTTATCTAGAACAGTGCCTGGTATAGAGTATGTACCTAATAAATGTTCATGGAATGAATGAATGAATTGAAGACACAGGTCGGGGCTGTGGTCCTAATGTGAACATCACATTCCTTGGATCATTCCAGGGGAGACAATCCAGGGCCTGAGGGCGAATCTCACCAGTGCCATAGAAACCCTGTGTGGTGTGGACTCCTCCGTGGCAGTGTCCTCTGGCGGGGAGCTCTTCCTCCGCTTCATCAGCCTTACCTCCCTGGAATACTCCGTAAGCACCTGCTCTCCCTGGGGTTACCTTTCTACTTCTCCATTTAGTGACAGACATTCTCAGCATTACCTGGATCTTCCCTGTCCCCTCATTTTGCTCTTTTCTTCCTAGGATTACTCCAAATGTAAAAAGATCATGATTGAGCGGGGAGAACTTTTTCTCAGAAGAATATCACTGTCAAGAAACAAAATTGCAGATCTGTGCCATACTTTCATCAAAGATGGAGCGGTGAGTGGATAACCATCATGCGTGGTAAGGAGGAGCAAGGGCTTCGAGTCCGACTGCCTGGGGTAAAATCCAGGCTTTGGCATTCATTTGCTGTGGAGCCTTGGACAGGTTACTTAACCTCTCTGCACAGCTTTCTCATCTGTTCAATAAGGGTGAGAATAGTACCTACCTCCTAGGGTTGTTGTGAGGATTAAATGAGGCAGGACGTGTAAGGGGCAAAGGGTGTGAGGGCTTGGTATTGTGTCTGGCACTTAGTAAGTGCTGCGCGAATGTAGATCTTGTTATTAGAGACGGTTGTCATTGTAAACAGGCAGAGAAGGACAGTGGGACAGCATGTGTGATTCTTGATTTAATACAGTGTTTTACTAAAGTATTTTTATGATTGTGTATGTAGTAAATCTGAATTAACACAGAACAGCTCTTGTCACTGGTTAACACTGAGGACTTTCTTAGTGAAGGTTAGCAATAAAGGGAGATTGAGGGAAATTTTCTTTTTAACTTCATTTTAGATGCTATTACAGAGATGTAAAGCTGCTCAGTGTTTATAAGTGAGGAAAGACAGGAGGTGCAAGTTGAGCCATCTCCCAGCACAGGTGTAATGAAACTTTCATAATGCCCCTCCCACCAGCATACGTCCTTTTGCTACCTCGGCCTCCCCTGACCATAAAATTACTTACTTGCATTTTGACTCTTAAATCTTTTTTTTTTTTTTTTTTTTTTTTTTTTTTGAGACGGAGTCTGGCTCTGTCGCCCAGGCTGGAGTGCAGTGGCCGGATCTCAGCTCACTGCAAGCTCCGCCTCCCGGGTTTACGCCATTCTCCTGCCTCAGCCTCCGGAGTAGCTGGGACTACAGGCGCCCGCCACCTCGCCCGGCTAGTTTTTTGTATTTTTAGTAGAGACGGGGTTTCACGGTGTTCGCCAGGATGGTCTCGATCTCCTGACCTCGTGATCCGCCCGTCTCGGCCTCCCAAAGTGCTGGGATTACAGGCTTGAGCCACCGCGCCCGGCCTACTGACTCTTAAATCTTGTCCTCCATTTTATTAGCCCCTTCCCAGCCTTTGACATTTGTTATTAAATAAATGGCATAATAGAGTGAGTGAAACTTGTTCAAAAGCCAGTTGCAAACAAAGCCTTTTTTGGGCAAGTGGAGGCAAGGTTGTGACTTCCTTTCACTGGGGCCTTCTCCTTCCACAGACCTACTGTGCCATCAGTATTGTGCAGGTTTCGTTTGCTCTAGTGTAGTGTGATACATGTGTACTTCACCTGCAGTCACTTACTCAGGACTGATTTAGACAAAATTCATAGCAGAGCTGCTCAGATTTGAAAGTGCAGAGGAGTCAGCTGGGGTCTTATTAAATGCAGATTGGGATTCAGTGGGTTTGGGCTAGGGCCCAGGAAGCTGCCTTTCTAACAGGTTCTCAGGTGGGACCCAGAAAGGAGCTAGAGAGCCGGTTCTGCCCTCTTGTCTTACTCTGTCTTCTGCACTCTTCCACGGAAAAGAGGTTATGGAGGCTGGGCATGGTGGCTTATGCCTGTAATCCCAGCACTTTGGAAAGCCAAGACGGGCAGATTGCTTGAGTCCAGGAGTCCAAGACCAGCCCGGGAAACATGGCAAAACCTCATCTCTACTAAAAATACAAAAACTTAGCCAGGCGTGGTGGCACAGTCCTGTGGTCCCAGCTACTCGGGGGCCTGAGGTGGGAGAATCAACTGAACCCAGGAAGTTGCGGCTGCAGTGAGCTGAGATCATACCACTGCATTCCAGCCTGGGCAACAGGAGTGAGATCCTGTCTCATCAAGGAAAAAAAAAAAGAAAGAAAGAAAAGAGGTTATGGGCCCACTGCAGTGGCTTATGTGTGTAATCCTAGCCAGAGGTTCACTTGAGGCCAGGAATTCAACACTAGCCTGAGCAACATAGGGAGAGAGGCCCTATTTCTACAAAAAATAAAATAAATTAGCTAGTCATAGTGCTGCACATCTATAGTCCCAGCTACTGGGGTGGCTGAGGTGGGAGGATCGCTTGAGCCCAGGATGTCAAGGCTACAGTGAGCCATGAACACTCCACTGCACTCCAGCCTAGGCATCAGAGCAAGACCTTGGCTCAAGAAAGAAAAGAAATTATGTATAAGTGTCTACACGTTGCATCCATGCCACAGATAGGTTGTGATTACCCCAAACGGTTTATAAATTCAAAAAAATTAGCCATCATTTCAAAATTGGATTTGTGGCCCCTGTAAGCAAAACCGTCACCTCGTCTGGCAGTCATGGGGCCACATGACAACAGCTAGGCCTGAGGAGTCCTGGCCCTCCTTAACCTTTTCTTTTTGAGACAGACTAGAGTATGATTACGGCTCATTGCAGCCTCAACCTCCCAGGCTCGAGTGATCACCCCACCTTAGCCTCCCAAGTAGCTGGGACTATAGGCACATGCCGCTGCATCCAGCTAATTTTTTTTGTTGTTATTTTTTGTAGAGATGGGGTATTGCCAAGTTGCCCAGACTGGTTTTGAACTCCTGGGCTCAAGCAGTCCTCCAACCTTGGCCTCCCAAAATGCTGGGAGTACAGGCGTGAGCCAGCACACCCAGCCTTCCGTAGCCTTTTCGCTTTGCTGCTGACCCCACCCAACCTGCTGCAGTGACTTCTGCTACCTACCTGGTTCCCGTAGGCCTGAGTGTGCAAACCATGTCTTAGAAATAGGGAAACCAACCCAAGGGAACCTCATGGAACCTTCAGCTATCCAGGCTTTTGTATCCTTTGGGTAACACTGTGTGGGAGTTCCCTTTCTGCACCTGCTATGGGATGTGAGACCTGGCAGAAACTTTTTCAGCTTGCAAATGGGATGGAAACTGTACCAGCAGGTCTCCTTTCTGGTCGTGGTTGATTTGTGAGAAAGTGTACAGAGACGCTTAGGGTGTCGGGAACACGCGCCGCAGTGCAGAGGGTGTGAGTGAGCAGCAAGGAGCCTGGCCCTTTGACGAAGCTTTCTTGGTCCACAGACAATATTGACTCACGCCTACTCCAGAGTGGTCCTGAGAGTCCTGGAAGCAGCCGTGGCGGCCAAGAAGCGATTTAGTGTATACGTCACAGAGTCACAGCCTGATTTGTCAGGGCAAGTACCTTTCTGTTCAGTTATGTGCCCAGCCATCATCGTACAGAGCAAACTGCAGATTAGAGTCCAACAGAATCAGAACCAGAATGTGCCCCCAACTTGCCAGCAGTCAGCATTGCCTTTCATTGTACCTTTTCCTGCCTTTGGAATAAAAATCACTGAATTTGCAGCAGGTCACAGTATAGGATCTAGGGGTTTCACTTAAGTAGTTAACGCTGTGGTAGAGCAGAGATTTATTGATGAAAGATTTTTGTCAAGGAATAGGTAACTCACATCTCCCTCTCTCTAGATGATAATAAAAGCAAAAGTTCCTCCTTTTTTCCTGAATTTACATCTCTTACCCAGAGTCTCTAAGAGTATAGTTTTCCAAAAATACTTCTTTCTAAAAAACCGAAATTCTTGTTTCCTTAGTCCAAAGTCTTGGGATCTGCCCCTTAACTCATTAGTATTAATGTCAGTTTCAAGCAAACATCCACTGTCCACATTAAGTGACTCATCATACATCACTGTGGGACTATCTTGTACTTCCTCTAACATTCTAAAAATGTATGTCATCTTCAGTAAGAAAATGGCTAAAGCCCTCTGCCACCTCAACGTCCCTGTCACTGTGGTGCTAGATGCTGCTGTCGGGTGAGTACCCATCTTCCCCAGCCATAATCACCTCCCCCACCCCACACTGGCTCACAGCAGAGTTTTCAGATTGAAAGTTTGAGTCCCATTCATAAAACCACAGCAGGTAGCGTCCTGCTTCTTAATTAATAGCTGCCCTGAACCAGCAAGCTTGTTATGAGGCTGTGATAGCATACAAAGAAGACAGAGCTGTAGGATGTTGGGGAGAGTGGGAGTTGTGTCTATAGCTTTATGGCTGTAAGTGTGAGTGCGTTTTGTTTATTTTTGTTTTGTTTTTTGGGGATTTTGTTTTGTTTTGTTGTTTTTTTTTTTTGAGATGGAGTCTTGCTCTGTCGCCTAGGCTGGAGTGCAGTGGCGCAATCTCGGCTCACTGCAAGCTCTGCCTCCCGGGTTTATGCCATTCTCCTGCCTCAGCCTCCCGAGTAGCTGGGATTACAGGCGCCCACCACCATGTCCAGCTAATTTTTTGTATTTTTAGTAGAGACAGGGTTTCACCATGTTAGCCAGGATGGTCTCGATCTCCTGACCTCGTGATCTGCCCGCCTTGGCCTCCCAAAGTGCTGGGATTACAGGCGTGAGCCACCATGCTCGGCCTGTTTTGTTTGTTGAGACAGAGTCTTGCCCTGTTGCCCAGGCTGGAGTGCAGTGGTGCGATCTTGGTTCACTGCAATCTCCGCCTCCCAGGTTCAAGTGATTCTCCTGTCTCAGCCTCCCAAGTAGTTGGGATTACTGGTGCATGCCACCATGCCAGGTTAATTCTTTTGTATTTTTAGTAGAGGTGGGGTTTCACCACGTTGGCCAGGTTGGTCTTGAACTCCTCACCTCAGGTGATCTGCCCGCCTCAGCCTCCCAAAGTGCTGGGATTACAGGCATGAGCCACCACGCCCGGCCAGTGTGAATGCATTTTAAGAGCAAAGTACAAAGGTCAGTTGGGATCAGCAGAGGGTAATCAGGGCCTCTGTTTCTGTGAAGACCTGGCTGTCCTCAGTGGCATGCTGGGATGCTTTGTCTCACCTAGAAGATGCAGCTTCCGTGGCAAAGCCAAGGTCACATGTTCCTGGGATTGTCAGTGTATTTCACAAGAGAAAACAAGAGTAATGATCTCTTGGAATGAAAACAAAATAGATTAAGGACATTATGAATGTGTTCAAAAGTAAGCATTTTGAGGAATTCTTCTAATTGCTCATTTTAGAAACTAAATTGGCCTTCATCGTACCAGAAAGATTCTTAAGTTTGGGCACAGTGGCTCATACCTGAGGCAGGCGGATCGCTAGAGTGCAGGAGTTGGAGACCAGCCTGGGCAATACCCATCTCTACAAAAAAAATACAGAAATTAGCTGGGCATGGTGGTGTATGCTGTGGTCCCAGCTACCTGGGAGGCTGAAATGGGAGGATCATTTGAGCCTAAGAGGTAGAAGTTTGGTCTGAGATCATGCCACTGCACTCTAGCGAGGGCAACAGAATGAGACTTTGTCTCAAAGAAAAAAAAAAAGAAAGAAAGATTTTAAAATTGCATAACACATTTGTCCAACTTCAGATCACATCAGATTTTAAAATTTGGTTTGGTTTGAACTGAAGTAGAACAGAAAGTAGAGGAAACCACACTTGGAAGGATGACTGCTGTGTCAGGACATTCTTGCTTCAGTTACATATGTACGTGTGCATGCCCTGGGCGGCAGTGTGAAGTGTATGTCTCGTTGTAGTGTCATGAACCAAAAACGCCCCTGGTAACAATGCCAGGGGTCTATCGCGTGTTAAGCGGTCTTTAAAAAAAACAAGTAGTTATGGGAGGAACTTACCTTGATAGAAATGGAATATTGATCTTTGCAGATGATGATGCTACTCGTTAAAGACAAGAAAATAAAGCATGAAAAGCTTTTTTTCCCCTTAGCTACATCATGGAGAAGGCAGATCTTGTCATAGTTGGTGCCGAAGGAGTTGTTGAAAACGGAGGAATTATTAACAAGGTAAGAGCGTCAGTTTTCCCCAGTTCCCTGCTCAAGACTTGGAGGTGTCTTGCTGACCTAGGACACCACAGCAGTGTTGTTGATTACAGTTCCTTCTAACCCTCCTTCACTTCAGGACTTCATCATGGTGTATTGAGTTGTTGCCCAGTTCCCATAACTCATAGCAATGGTCAGTCCAGTTTTGGTCAAATGTTTCTTCTTTTTAGGTTGATCTGCATAAATGAAGACAATGTAATTTGGTCAGATGTGATGGCTGATACCTATAATCCTAGCAATTCAAGAGGCCAGGGTGGGAGGATCACTTGAGGCCTTGAGTTCAAGACCAGCCTGGGCAACATAGTGAAACCCTGTCTCTACAAAAAATTAGAAAAATTAGCTGGGCGTGGTGGTGCTTATCTGTAGTTCCACCTGCCCAGGAAGCTGAGGCAGGGGTATCACTGGAGTCCAGGAATTTGAGATTGCAGTAAGTTATGATTACACCACTGCATTCCAGCCTGGGCGATGGTGAGATCCTGTCTCAGAAAAAAAAAAAAAAAAAAAAGTGTAATTTATATTTAATTTATACAAAATTGGCTTGAATTAGAATTGGGGTTTGGTTTTTATTTTTTAATTCTTTATGTGTACATTTTATTCTTTATCATACATATACACATAATAAAAACATACATACAAATATTTATTTTAAAAATATTATTTGTATATTTACATATAAAGTATGTATGTATAAAATATGTGTATTTATATATAAATATTTTATATATTTTTAAATAGAGACACGTTCACTCTGTTGGCCAGGTGGTAGTGTAGTTCAGTGGTCATAGCTACTGCAGTCTTGAACTCCTAGCCTGAAGCAACCCTTCCACTTCTCAAAGTGCTAGGATTACAGGCGTGAGCCACTGTGGCCAGCCTGTCGTTTGTTTTCATTTTAATTGAACACATTTGACCTACGTTTTTTATTACAATTTCTCTCTCCATTATTTAATTTAGAAAGGCTTCATGAAAGCTTTTTTTAGTTAAAATATATATAACATAAGGCCGGGCGTGGTGGCTCACACCCATAATCCCAACACTTTGGGAGGCTGAGGCAGGCGGACCACCTGAGGTCAGGAATTTGACACCAGCCTAGCCAACATGGTGAAACCCCATGTCTACTAAAAATACGAAAAATTAGCTGGGCATGGTGGCGGGCACCTGTAATCCCAGCTACTTGGGAGGTTGAGGCAGGAGAATCGCTTGAACCTGGGAGGTGGAGGTCTGCAGAGTGTTGAGTCACATAACTGTATATTTAACTTTGAGAAACTAATGATTTTCCACAGCAGCTGCACTACTTTACATTCCCACTAGCAAAGCAAAGGTTCCAGTTTCTCTACATCCTTGCCAACACTTGTTTTTTTAATTTTTTTGTTTTGAGATGGAGTTTCACTCTTGTTGCTCAGGCTGGAGTGCAATGGCACAACCTTGGCTCACTGTAACCTCCAGCCCCCTGGGTTCAAGCGAGTCTCCTGCCTCAGCCTCCCTAGTAGCTGGGATTACAGGCGCCGCGCCCCCCACCCCACCATGCCCAGCTAATTTTTCATATTTTTAGTAGAGATGGGGTTTCCCTATGTTGGCCAGCTGGTCTCAAACTCCTGACCTCAGGTGATCCACCTGCTTCGGCCTCCCAAAATGCTGGGATACAGGTGTGCGCCACTGAGCCCAGCCTGCTTTTCTGTGGCTTCTACTTCGGATGCACTTTAGAGCTCATCCATTCCATTTCCTGCCTTCCCAGATTGGAACCAACCAGATGGCTGTGTGTGCCAAAGCACAGAATAAACCTTTCTATGCGGTTGCAGAAAGTTTCAAGTTTGTCCGACTCTTTCCACTAAACCAGCAAGACGTCCCAGATAAGTTTAAGGTAAGAGTTTTACATATTTGAAGGGGTACTAACGTCTAAACTGAAACCTTTGGAAATTGTAGTCCTAAGAATGTTCCAGTAGTTTTTTCACTTCCTATTGCTACTTTCCCCAACACTTGGAATACAAAGATAAATTGGTGGCTGGACTCACACGTTTGTCCCTAGAATTTCAGTCTTTCAGTCTCTTTAAGTAGCACCATAGATGGGTGGAGAGGAAGCCAGAAGCTGGTGGGTAAGTCCCAGCTTTGGGCTCAACTGAGGTCAGCTCCCATCACCACAACTTATAAACTGTGCGAGTTGAGGCAAGTCCTTTTTATTTCAACCTCTGAACCTGTTTCCTTGTCTGTCAAATGGCACAGCAGTATCTGACAGGGTCATGAGCATTCTAAGATAGTCTTAGCACAGTCCCTGGCATGCTGCAACCTGTCTGTTGTGACTCTCAATCATACCTTGAGAGGTCTGGAGAAGTTAATCCGGCATGAGAATGAGGGGACATGTGATTTAAGTTTGTTACACTACAGCTCTTGGCCAGCACGCCGCCATGATCTGGCTTATGGCCACAACTCTGCCCTCCTCTCCAGCGTCCTGCATAGCTAGCTTCTCCCATTTTCAGAGAGCAGTCTCAGGAAGTAGCACACTGATCACTCACGCCAAGGCCCCACCAGTATGGAGCCCTAAACATTCAGTGCCGACTAATGTGTACTTCTCTCCTCAGTATAAGGCAGATACTCTCAAGGTCGCACAGACTGGACAAGACCTCAAAGAGGAGCATCCGTGGGTCGACTACACTGCCCCTTCCTTAATCACTCTGCTGTTTACAGACCTGGGCGTGCTGACACCCTCAGCAGTCAGCGATGAGCTCATCAAGCTCTATTTGTAACCTGTGGGCCCTTTCCTGCCAAGGTGCAGCTTCTGTAGTTGAGGCTGAGGCAGGGTGAGTAGCTGCTTGACACCCTGGTGAGCCAGGCCAAACCTGAGATGTGTTTTAATGAAGATTTATGGAGTAAGGACTTAAAATCATACATCTTGGAGAACCTTTCTTATTCATTTCAGTCCCATCTAAAAATGTGTCAGTTATTCTAAATCCCAACCTAAATTGTTCTTATGGTTTCTAGAAACTTTCCTTTTCAGTTTCCAGAAATACAAGTTAGATAATTGGCTACTTAACTGATGAAAGATGAGCCCAAGTCCATCTCTCCTCATCCTCCCCTGCACTTGACTGATCTGCCAAAAAGCATGCGAGATGCAGGGGGAAAGCAGCCACACCCCTCTGCCACAAATGACCAACAGCTGGTCAGGACGTTACACGCGGTGCCTTGTAAGAGGCAAGACACACTTGCCGAATCTGCGTCTGGCTTCCAGTGGTAAGCACATTCCTCAGCAGGATCAAGCCAAACAGGAAAAACTGTACCAAGAGAACATGAGGCGGGCAGAAACATTTAGCAACAGTATTCTGCATGGCTCACTGCTTAAGAAAATGCCTTCTGGAATATTTGTAAACTAAAGTTCTGTATGTGTAAGAGATGTTTAAATATGTTTGGGTCCTAAACAGCTTTTTAAAATTATACTTGGGAACAAATTCAGCATCTTTTCAAATAAATTCTATGATAAAGACTTTGATGTGGTGGTGTGTCAATACTGCAAGCTGACCAGGCCATCTAGGGGAAAACACTGTCCAGCTACATTTACACACTTAAGACCCAGGCAATCAGGACACCATTTATTCAACAGAAGGCATAAAAACTGTAATTCTCTTTCCCGGAATGTGACTTAATGCCTCTGTTTTTCAGCTATTCATCAAAAAAAAAAAAAAAACTGGGACTATTCTTAACACAGAAAAACCCCCAGCACGTTAGCCACCTCTGCAGGGCATCAAAGGATAACTGAAGCCCAGGGCCAAGGACATTCAGGAGGTCAGATGCCTAAAGATACTAAGGAATGGTTTTGAAAATCAGAAGTCAAGAATACTTCAGTACCTTTATGTTTAAAAATAACTGTAAAATAGCCTCAGAAAAAAGAGCTCATATATATATAATATGTACATAGGTCTATATATGGGGCCCATCATGATAAATAAATACATCTATTATTTACACTCAAATAATTGTACATTTTCTTGTTAGACTACTTCAAGACTGGAATTGTTTTGTTTTGTTGTTTTTAATGAGAGGGTCTGGCTGTGTTGCCCAGGCTGGTCTTGAACTCCTGGGCTCAAGTGATCCTCCTGCCTCAGCCTCACAAAGTGCTGGGATTACAGGCAGGAGCCACTGCACCCGGCCAAGACTGGAATGTTTTTAGTAAAATATTCCCAAGTGTGAAACCCTTCATTTCTCCCTCGTCTGAAAGGACAGCTTTCAGAGACGTGATTCTTCTCAGATGTCTCCTGAAGTTTTGATTTCCATTAAAAGCAAACTGGAGCCATCCACTAAGTTAGGGAACAGCTATGCCCTTGTGGGTTCATCTGTGGCACTCGAATCAGCAGTCATCTTCCAAATCTGAGATCCCTAAATCCACTGTCTTGATGGTTCTTTTGCCAGTTGTCAACAAGCCCTTCTCAAATTCTTCTTCAGTTATTTTGCCTTTCTTAAGTTTCTTCAAGAGTCTTGTGTCATTGAGAAGTTCTTCCATGTCCTCATCTTCAATATCAGAACCCTAAGTACAGAAGAAACCAATAAACTACTAAATTTTTCAGCAATAGTGTTCTGGTGAAACCAGCAGTTTTAACTCAGGAACTATAAGCTCTCAGATTGGCTTCTGCAAATACAGCAAATTCCCCGCCCCAGTCACCAACGTAATAGAAATCTGAGCGCCCCACACAATTCCTATTTAAAGAACGACTACAATAATATTTGTTCAAGATTCTAAGTTAATGTAAGTAAAACTAAACTTTACCTCTTCCCTTTTCCTTTTCTCATTCATTTTTTTCTTCTTTTCTTTTTTGGCCTTCTGCTTCGACCAAGCTTTGTTTTTTATGAATTTTCTTCTCCCTTCATGTTCTGTTTTCTCTCTTCTTTGTTGCTCCAGGAGTTTCTGCCTCTGCTTTTCTCTAATTTTATCTTTAAATGGAATCGTGTCTGTATTAACGTCCACAGGCACAAAATCTGGAAACTGCTTTCCTCTCAATTCTGGCATCTTGGGCATCCTCAGCAGGGCAAAACCTTGAGCAAGGCTGGCAAAATCAAGATCTAATTCAATCAGAAGATCAGAGTTAGCACACTCAACAGGATTAGAACAGTCAGTAATGGCTTACAATATAATTTTTTTCTAACCAAAGGGTTTAATGAATTCATTTAAATTAGAATGAAAATAATTACATTTTTACAAAGTTAAAAGGAATACTCAGCAGCCAGTGGCCAGTTTATTCTGTGTCTACTCAAAGCCTGGGAACACTTCCTTTTATGAGACAAAGCAATCTCATACTTGTAAGATCACCACATGGTTAAGATGGAGACATTATCACATGAAGAAGTCCAACTTACCCTTTAATCTGAAAATCAGGTTGCATTCATGCTTTGCATAAGCCTGGACATACGACACAAAAGCTTTCATGCCCTTTTCAAACACAGCTCTGTCAGCCAGGGCCATGGACTTGAGTTTTGGCAGAAGGTCCGCTGTGTTTCTCTGGAGCTTCATCTCCTGCAGGGGGCACTACACACACCACATTCTCACCTTCCCTGGTTGGCATCACATCCCCGGGGCTCCCCCATCACAGCCAAGAAAACCGAAAGCAAAACAATTCCTTTTCACCTTTTGAGGTCTGAAGCCCAATTCCAACCCAAATATTTCACATGCTCTAAAAAGTATGTTAAATTTAAAAGAAAATTTAAAAATCAGATTTCACATGACAATCCTAATCTAGTAGCAAAGTATAGCAACACTGGGTCTCTTATTCACAAGTCTCTATTCACCCTTGCCTGGATCCCAGCAGGGCCTGCTACCGCACAGGAGGCTTGGTCACTCCATGACTGAGGTGCCTCCACAGCCTTAAAGCCCACCAGGGTGGCTGGGCACGGTGGCTCACGCCTGTAATACCAGCACTTTGGGAGGCCAAGGTGGGCAGATCACCAGAGGTCAGGAGTTTAAGACTAGCCTGACCAACATGGAGAAACCCCGTCTCTACTAAAAATACAAAATTATCTAGGGTGGTGGCACGTGCCTGTAATCCCAGCTACTTGGGAGGCTGAGGCAGGAGAATCCATTGAACCCGGGAGGCAGAAGTTGCAGTGAGCCGAGATAGCGCCATTGCACTCCAGCCTGGGCAACAAGAGTGAAACTCTGTCTCAAAAAAAAAAAAAAAAAAGGCCCACTAGGGCCCCACGCTGCCACCACCAGCCCAGCCCCAATGAGTTTGCAATTTGTAATTTCATTTGCTGACCACATGCTGGAGAAGAACTTTTCCAGCTATCCCGTCACTAGGCAGCTTACTTTCTGGTTAATTGCAAGGAAATTGACGTATGACTCTTCCATGGGCAGGAGGAACACCAGAGCGCTGCCCCCGTGGCCAATGCGAGCTGTGCGACCGCAGCGATGCACGAAGGCACTGTGAGAACACAGGATGGAAATGGGTACCCAGGTGAGGACAGCTGAACAGAGTTCAGGCTCCAGCCACATGGCTGATGCAGCTAAAATGCTATGGGGAGCCTCTAGCCTCCACAGCTCAGTGTGGACTTGGCCACTTACTAGTGTGAGAAACAGAAGAACTGGCAATTAAACCAGCACTGCAGACAGATATGATTCTGTAATAAACATTTAATGTGAACTCTAAGTAAAACTTGTATCTTTCTCTCTGATCAGACAGGTGGGACATGGTCCCCAGTGGAAAATCTGGGATACAATGAAAAATACAAACAATAAAATGAAAATGACCAATAATCTCAGGAGTAATCATCAACACTTGGGGGTTTACAGGCATCTTCCTATGCGTGGACGCATGTATTAGGAATATATGCTGACTTTGGACAAAGTAGTTGTAATTTCCACATGTGGTGTTATGTACTGCTTTTTTCCATTTAGACGTTCTATTGTGTGTTTCTGCAAGAACTGAAAATGATTGAAAATACTTTTAATTGCTGCCAATACAATATCACTATTTCACCACGAATGGGTTATTCATCCATTTGCCTATTTTTGCCTCTTAAAACAATGGGTTTTGTTTTGAGACAGAGTCTCACACTGTTGCCCAGGCTGGAGTGCAGTGGCACAATCCATTGCCACCTCTGCCTCCTGCGCTCAAGCCATTCTCCTGCCTCAGCCTCTCAAGGAGCTGGGACTAAAGGCACACACACCTAGCTAATCTGTATATACATTTTTTGTAGAGACGGGGTTTTGCCATGTTGCCCAGGCTAGTGAATTCCTGGGCTCAAGCGATTCACCCGCCTAGGCCTCCCAAAGTGCTGGAATTACAGGCGTGAGCCACCGCGCCTGGTCTCAAATAATGTTTTGTTGTTGTTTTTTGTTTTCTCTCATTGTCTGAAATTTCTATAACCTTGCTCTACATGGAGCAGGGCAAGACCTCAAACCGTTTCAAAACTGTTCTGGCAAGCACTGTAGGAATGCACGGGGTCACTGCAGACCCAAGCACGCTGGAGGCTTGCTATAAAATAATGTTGCAATGAACATCATTATCTGTTTATCTTCTTCAGGATTCCTACTTCATTAGGCTAACTTCCTCAACAGAGAGTGGGTGGCAGCCTCGTACCATACCTTGCATTGCTGGGAGGGTCATACTGCAAAACCCAGTTGACTTCAGGAATATCAATTCCCCGGGCCATCACATCAGTGCACACCAAAATCCCACTAGAAAATGAGAAAACAGCATTCTGAGTAAGGAGGCTTCACCATCTTCATCACCATCAAACAGCCTACTGATCTTGATGACAGTGACACACAGGTGCTGGAGCTTCTCACAGAAGCACATGCTTAAGGTAATATTTTGATTTTTCCTTCTTTCTACAAATCTCTAGGACTTCATAAATTCCAATAAAAACTGGAGGGAGGTGAGAGACAGCAAAGGGATTTTAAAAATTACAACATTTCCATTTGAAAACCGAAACTGTATGGGTCTAATCCTTCGTAGCCATCTGAAAAACAACAGACACTTCACTCTGTAACTGAGACCTCGCAGTCAGGTATATCGCTTTGTCCAAAAGAGGACTTTTAATATAGCCAGATGTTCAATGATTAAGAAAAACAGAAAACTGTTATTTGTTAGCACAAACAGAAACAACTTATGGTCAATGGAAGACACAAGTTCCCTGCTGTGTAGTCACAAGCCTGATAAGCAGACAGTTTTTGTTTGTTTGTTTGTTTTGTTTTTTGAGATGGAGTCTCGCTCTGTCGCCCAGGCTGGAGTGCAGTGACACAATCTCAGCTCACTGCAAGCTCCATCTCCTGTGTTTACGCCATTCTCCTGCCTCAGCCTTCCGAGTAGCTGGGACTACAGGCGCCCGCCACCATGCCCGGCTAATTTTTTGTTTTTAGTATACACGGGGTTTCACCGTGTTAGCCAGGATGGTCTGGATCTCCTGACCTTGTGATCCACCCGCCTCGGCCTCCCAAAGTGCTAGAATTACAGGCATGAGCCACCGTGCCCACCCTTAAGCCACAGACAGTTTCTACACCAACAGGACAAATGGATTTGCTCCTTGCTTCTTGACAGTCATCACAACCCTTCCCTGGGCCAGGCACAGAGCAATCTGGGAGTGAAGACAATGCACAGGGCTCCTGTGTCACAGAGCCTACCGTCTAGCACAGAAGTTCAGTAACTAGGGAAACGACATAGCAAAAGGCAAAGCCATTAGAACAGGGCAGTGAGGCTCTGGGCATTTAAAGAGATGTGATAACCAGGTTAGAGAGAGAAGAGGGTTCCAGGCAGGAAAAACAACACAAGTGGACAGCACAGGCTACTGGAGAATGGGGTGTTTGAGGACCTAAAAGAGCAGTGTGGCAGGAAAGCTGTTACCTCCAATGAAGCTCACCTACCTTTGCAGTTTGCGGAACTCCATGAAGATCTTATTGCGTTTATATTTCATCTTTCCATGAATGCACATAATCCTCACGCCCTTCACCAGCGCCTCCAGAGCCTTCCCATAGTATTCCACACAGGCACAGGTGCTGCAAGAGGGACAGACGGCTTAGAGTCATTGACCACCTTGGTCCTTCTACAACCGGGAGAGGGGAACTGTGAGCAATAGCTGCAGTAGACACAACCTAACTACGAGCCCTCCCTAGGGGAATGACGAGACTGGCAGTGGAAATCATCCACAACTGAGTTCTCAATCTGTAATCCTCTCAGCCAATGAAAGGCCAATCTTTTGACAAAATACCTTAAACGTGAGTTAAAACCCCCAAGGACGTATTCTACTGTCTAAAGATGTTCTAACAGGAAATCTCCCTGACTCCAAAAAAGGAATTGAAGTGAAACAGTCATTCAGAACAAAAGCAATGACATCTTAACCACAAATAATCTTATAAGATTTAAAAACATTCCTGCTTTTCCTTTAGGGAACTGCTTCTTCCCCAATTAGCAGGATTCCCAAGGGCTCAGCAAATAACCCAAGCTAGACCAATCAGATCCCTTCTCCCAGATATTTGGGACTTGGAGCTGAGTCATCCAAGGACAAAAAGGAGGTTCACAGAGTCATCCCAATAAAGATATGCCCTAAAGAGATGGCCCATGAACTCCTGCCAGGGAGCCTCCTTCCCTGGGAGGTGGACACTCAGCATTCTCTCAATCTGTGAGTTCCTTACCCAGCACCGTTCTAACAAAGTTCACCCTGGACCCTTTTCCTTAACTGGAAGCATTCCCCAGTGATTTCCCATCCTTTTGCAGATGAGGGAACTGAAACTGACCAGAAACACAGAGTAAGTGGCAGCACCAGAACCCAAGTCAAATGCTCCTCCCACTATACCAGACTACTGCATTCCAGTTTGGGCTAACTCTAGTCTACTTCAGTTCCTCCACCTATGCTGTGACCGCCACCAGACTGGTCCATCTTTCCACCTTGAGTCACATAGTATGTAACGAAGTGGTGTTTCACACACTAAGCCTCGTCACCCACAGATCTGGTGGGTTCTGAAATCAATTTAGTGGGTCTCGACCAGCATTTTTAAAAAATTAACAGCTGGAGTAGAACAGAATAGAAAACATCCCACCTAGCAGAGTGTGGTTTCGTGAAAACCTTTGTTTTATTGTCTTGTTTGGGTGTGTACCGAATTGTACTTCTTACTGTGGGTCATAGTCAATAATCGCATTTTATTTGTAGGATAACACATGGAAAAGTAATATAAAATTATTTTTTATGTACTGCTAAAGATCAACATTTATCTCTGGAGAAAAGGGGAAAAGAACCAACCAGTCCAAAGAACATATGCATCTGTTCCTACGCTGCCTTCTGACCACAGGACAAAACCCCACTGTGGCGGACTCCATGGATGGCTGATAAACACTATTCCCAACCACTTCTTGCTTCGCTGGCCACTACCACAGAGCCAGAAAAGCTGTGCGCTCATTTTCTCTGCTGCTCTTGAAGTGAGGGGCCACCACATGACCCACTTTTGGCCCCTAGATGAATTCACAGCTGAAGTCAGCTAGGGCAGAGGGGTTTCTGAGGAAGCTCTTTGTTTTACTGATTAAAAGGCATGGATATAGCTAATATTGCCATACGCCCCCTCTGCCTTTCCCCCCTTATCTTTCTTCAGTGCAGATATGACAGGGTATAATAGTGGTCATCCAGAATCCATGAGGTGACACACAGGAAGAGAAGACCAATCACATCAACATTGATCTTGACATGAATGACACATGAAGCCCCTGTGAGAAACTGCCTCTGCCTTTGGACTTATTTTTATAGGACAAAAATAAAGCCAACCTTGTTTGAACCACGAAAGTTGGGTTTTCAGTTATTTGCAGCCAAAAGCATTCCCGAGAGAACCATGCTAGATGGAATCCAAAACCCAAAGGCCGCATGCACCTGCACATTCTGCCTGAATCCCTGGCGCCCCTACCAGAGACCAGAGGAGTACCTGAAGAAGACCAGGTGTTTCTCCTGCTTATGATTGTGAAGAAAATGGACCAGCTGATTAAATTTCTCATCTGCCTTGCATACCTGCAAAAGAAAAAGGGAAACTAATAAAAAACATATTTGGCAATAATAATCCCCATGGCTATTTTCTGTTTCAGCATTAAATTTTAAGGAATGTCATTTTCCCCACGGGTAGGACAGACTTTAGTCAGAATGTTAACTGGTCTACCTAGCTCAGAATAAACATCGACATGTGCTGCTGCCTCTAAAAGTTAATTTGTATGTCACAAAATCATACAGCTCAGAGAAACATAGTCATCCAACAGGCAACAGTTCCCAACTCCCAATCCCAATATACATGAGAGCTGGTACACCATCTCCAGAGTAGATTTTTATTTATTTATTTATTTTACCTTTTCTTTTCCTTTTTTTTTTTTTGAGATAGACTCTCAATATGTTGCCCAGACTGGTCTCAAACTCCTGGCCTGGCCTCCGGCGATCCTCCCACCTCAGTTCTAAAGTGCTGGGATTACAGGCATGAGCCACCTAACCCAGTCAAAGGATATATATATTTTTTTTAATGCAGATTCTTGGGTACGACATACAGATTCTGATTCAGTAGGTCTGAGATTGGACCTAAGAATCCATATTATTTAAGAGTTCCCCCAGGAAATTCTGATGCCAAGTTCAGAAGTCACTGCTCTAAGATGAATAATGATTTCCAGAAAGCAATGTACATAATTATTTAAAAGGCTTCCATGGACTCAGACCCCATTGCTTTTTTTCATAATGCAATCAAGTCCTCCATTCAAACTCCCAAATTAGAGACATTAAATTTACCTGAATGCATTCATCCTATTTTTACCAAAACCAAATGCCCAGTTTGGAATTTTTTCTCATGTACTCAGCCATCTCTAAATGCAAAACGAATGCAAAACAACAGAACGCAACAGTAGCCACAGTGGGTGTCCAAAGCTAGCATTAGTATGAGTATCCCTCATCCAAGGTCCCTGGGACTTGAAGTGTTTTTTGGCTTTTGAATTATTTCAGATTTTGGAATAGCTGCACTATACTTACCAGTTGAGCATCCCTAATCTGGAAATCCGAAATCTAAAATACTCCAACAAGCATTTCCTTTCCGCATCATGCTGGCATTCAAAAAACTCCAGATTCTGGAGCATTCTGGATTTTGAAATTTCAAGTTAGGAATGCTCAACCCATACTTACCGTGTACTAAGCACTGTCATGAACATTTTTGCATGGATTAATTAATTAATCGTCCAGTAACCCTACGAAGCTGTATACTACTGTGGCCCCCATTTGACAAGTGAGGACCTCTAAGTTCACCGGTTAATTTAGTAGGGGCCAAAGCCAAGATATGCACCAGGCAGTCCTGCTCTAGCTGCTCTAGCACCCATGCTCTCCACACTACCCTATGCAGAGTCCTTCCCTCTGCTTGGGAAGAGCTAGCCTCCTCCCTCACCCAGCCTGGACTGTCAGAAACATCAATGGCGGCCGGGCGCGGTGGCTCAAGCCTGTAATCCCAGCACTTTGGGAGGCCGAGACGGGCGGATCGCAAGGTCAGGAGATCGAGACCATCCTGGCTAACACGGTGAAACTCCGTCTCTACTAAAAAATATGAAAAACTAGCCGGGCGTGGTGGCGGGCGCCTGTAGTCCCAGCTACTCGGGAGGCTGAGGCAGGAGAATGGCGTGAACCTGGGAGGCGGAGTTTGCAGTGAGCTGAGATCCGGCCACTGCACTCCAGCCTGGGCAACAGAGTGAGACTCCGTCTCAAAAAAAAAAAAAAAAAAAAAAAGAAACATCAATGGCAACTACAACTCCCACTTCTGATGAGCCTATCTGATCTCGACAACACTCTCCAGTTACACTAGGTGCAGTTTCTCATTTGGAAACTCATTCTACCTTTAATCTGCCTACAAATTGACACAAACAGGAGAGCAGCCTTGACAACCTCACAGTCTACAGCAATAGGAACACTCTGGTTTCAAAAACCAGCCTCCTTCATTTTGAACAGCAGACATGTTCAGGAGCTAGGGAACCCCTCCAGGCCTAAAGAAAAATTTAACCTGAAAAAGCTTATTGCAAAAGAGAAAGAAAAGTCCCAGCCCCAGGCTGGTGGGACAATGTACCATCAGCAGTGGCACTGGCTTGTGGGTTCCTCCATGCCCTGATGGTGCTGCCTCCCCTGCAGCCTGTGCTCTCTGCATTTGTGCCTCGTGGCCCATCCCAGCAATGGGACGGAACAGAACAGGGGTGGGGAGTGGCCTCATTACTAAACAATCAAATTGCCAAAAGCCCATCTACTTCCTTGTGAAGAAACTACAGAAGCTAGCAGCCAGTATTTACTACTAGAAATTCAGCATATTTGGGCCGGGCACAATGGCTTATGCCTGTAATCCCAGCACTTTGGGAAGCTGAGGCAGGCAATCATGAAGTCAGGAGTTCAAGACCAGCTTGGCCAACGTGGTGAAACCCCACCTCTACTAAAGATACAAAAAGTTAGCCGGGCACGGTGGCACACGCCTGTAATCCCAGCTACTCGGGAGGCTGAGGCAGAAGAATTGCTTGAACCCGGGAGGCAGAGGTTGCAATGAGCTGAGATCGTGCCACTGCACTCCAGCCTGGGTGAGACACTGTCTCAAAACAAAAAACAAACAAAAAGGCTGGGCGCGGTGGCTCACGCCTGTAATCCCAGCACTTTGGGAGGCCGAGGTTGGCAGGTCACCAGGTCAGGAGATCGAGACCATCCTGGCTAACAGGGTGAAACCCCGTCTCTACTAAAAAAATACAAAAAATTAGCCGGGCGTGGTGGCGGGCGCCTGTAGTCGCAGCTACTCAGGAGGCTGAGGCAGGAGAATGGTGTGAACCCGGAAGGCGGAGCTTGCAGTGAGCTGAGATCATGCCACTGCACTCCAGCCTAGGTGACAGAGTGAGACTCCGTCACAAAAAAAAAAAAAAAAAAAAAGAAATTCAACATATTTGATGCAGGTCAAAAATACACAACATTTACAGAGTAGAACATTTATTTCCACCCCACAAAGTCTCCTCAGGAGTGAGTCTGTCATTTGATTTTCTGTGTTCCACCTGCACATCTAACTATGCCCTTCTCTGTGACACAGGCTGTTCTGACAGGCCGAGGAACTACAGAGTTTAATCATGCCTGCACCCAGCACACCCCAAGCATGTAAAATAGAAACATTTTGTCACTTGAGGGTAGGAGGTTCAGAGACACTGTCCTTAGAGACTGTGCTTAAAATACATTAAAGCCCAATTTAACTAACTTACTCATTCAATGAGCAGGAACACCCAGACCATTTCTCCTAGCTCTGTCCCCAAATGCATTTCATATGTGCTACAGGGTCTCATATATTTATTCTACCAGTACAATTTCCATAAAATGTGCACTGGTCATTATCACCAAGTAAGAAGCAAGCCCAGGCACTCACCATGTAGTAGTTTTCCAGGCGGGAGGGGGTCTTCTGGGTGCTGCTGGCTGCCTCGCCTTTCTCCTTCACCGAGACCCGGACAGGGTTCCGGAGGCCCGCTCTCACCAAGTTCTCCACTTCCTGCGTCTGAGTGGCTGAGAAAAGGCCTGTTCTCCTCTGCTTTGGCAAAAACTCCAGGATGGTGTTGATGCTGATAAAAAGAGGGCTCACACTTAACCGCTCACTTGCCAGCATAATCAACACACAGTGCTTCATGATACCAAGCAGGTATTCAGAAAGACTGAAAGTGAAGCCATCAAAATATTTATAGCACATACACTGGGAGGTGAGATTATGGGTGATTCTTTGTTTCTTCTTTATACTTTCATTTTTCCAAGGGCCTCAAATTTTAGCATATAATTATACAATTATAATGATATGTGAATTACATCCCATTAAACTGTTTATTAAAAAACAAAACTGCCAGGTGCGATGGCTCATGCCCGTAATCCCAGCACTTCGGGAGGCTGGGATGGGAGGATCTCTTGAGCCCAGGAATTTGAGACCAACCTGGGCAACATAAGGGGGATCTTGTCTCTGCAAAAATTAAAAAAAAAAAAAAAGGCGTGATGGCATGTGCCTGTAGTCCCAGATACTCAGGAGGCTGAGGTGGGAGGCTTACTTAAGCCCAGGAAGTAAAGGTCGCAATGACCCAAAATCATGCCACTGCATTCTAGCCTGGATGACAGAGTGAGACCCTGTCTCAAAAAAAAAAAAAAAAAAAAAAATACTTGAAGGAAAGTGCATTTTAAGATCAAAGATAGGCCGGGCGCGGTGGCTCAAGCCTGTAATCCCAGCACTTTGGGAGGCCGAGACGGGCGGATCACGAGGTCAGGAGATCGAGACCATCCTGGCTAACACAGTGAAACCCCGTCTCTACTAAAAAATACAAAAAACTAGCCGGGCGAGGTGGCGGGCGCCTGTAGTCCCAGCTACTCAAGAGGCTGAGGCAGGAGAATGGCGTAAACCCGGGAGGCGGAGCTTGCAGTGAGCTGAGATCCGGCCACTGCACTCCAGCCTGGGCGACAGAGTGAGACTCTGCCTCAAAAAAAAAAAAAAAAAAAAAAAAAAGATCAAAGATAGAACCGGAATAAAAATCACGTGGTAGAATTTGAAAGCTCAAACTACTTAATGATTTGAAATTAAAATGTGGTTAATAAAAATACTTAGGCCAGGTATGGTGGCTGGCGCTTGTAATCCTAGCACTTTGGGAAGCCTAGGTGGGAGGATCACTTAAGCCCAGGAGTTTGAGAACAGCCTGGGCAACATGGCAAAACCCCAGCTGCAAAAAAATTAAAAAAACAGGCATGGTGGTGTGCGCCTGTAGCCCCAGCTACTCGGGAGGCTGATGCAGGAGGATCACCTGAGCCCAAGAGGTTGAGGCTGCAGTGAACATAATTACGCCACTGCACTCTGGCCTCGGTTACAGCACAAGACCCTGTCTCTAAAAAATAAATTAATTAAAAATAAATTAAAATGAAAATAAAAAATAAAAATACCTAGTCATAAAGTAGTAAACTCCATTTTGCTTTCCTTTTGTATTAGTATCATCCACCCACTCAAGCCAGTGAAGTCCAAAGGCCAGTACCTTGCCTCAAACCCCATGTCCAGAAGTCTGTCTGCCTCATCCAACACCAGGACATCCAGGGATCGCACACAGCTGGCCAGATCCAAGCCTTCCGCCTTCCTTCGGAACATGTCCTCCAAGCGGCCTGGAGTGGCCACAATGATGTTCCCACTTTGGAAAGAAAGTTAACATTTACCAAGCTCTCTGGATCTTGGGAATGTGGTTAATGATTACCAAAATACCAAGTTTCATATCCCTCCAAAGTCATTTAAGCCCTAGTGAAGAGAATGAAGAGCATGAGAGTGGAAAAGAGTGCTGTAGGGTAGAAAATGTGAGGGCTGCGGCGAAACGGGATCTGGGTTCTGGGCTATGACCCAGGCAAGGTTGGCAAACTCCAGCTCCCAGACCAAACCTGGGCTGCTGCCTGTCCTTGCCAAGTATTTTATTGGCAGACAACCATGCCCATTTATTCACATGTTGCCTATCGCTGCCTTCACACTGCAACAGCAGCTGAGTAACTGCGACGGAGACCATATGGTTCACAAAGCCGAAAACAGTTACCATCTGCTCATTTACAAAAAAAGCTTCCCAACCTCTGACCTACGCAAGTTAACTCAACCATTGTAGGCTCCAGGTAGCTCACATGTAAAATGGGAATGTTGACAGAATTAGAGAACTCTATGTAAAGATCACAAACTGGCAGACTCAGGGCCGGATGTGGCTCCCTCAGACTGGCTCACCTACATGATGTGTTTTTCAAACGTGGATTACACGCCAACAGTTAAAAAATCAGGAGATTACACACACAAATCTGGAATTCCATCTTCTTTTTAAAAAATTCAAAACCTGGCTTTTGAATTTTTTCAAAAGCCCAGTCCCGCCAGGCAGCTACCAGCTGGAGCTGAGTATTCCAGGCAGCTACTGGCCAGTTCCTCACCATCCCCCAGTCCCGCACTCATCTATCCTGACCACTCGTTTATCCTCACGTCGTTCTCTTGACCTCTGTAGGAACCTGAGTTAAGTACTCATCAGGGCCTCATGGGAAGGAGCTAGCAAAGCGCCATAGGAAGCTGGCCTGGAGAAAACACCTTTTTGCAGGGGGAGGAGGCTGCTGAAAGGGGGACCCACAGTTAGGCTGAGATCACATATCAATTCTTGGGTTCAGTGCCAAGAGCAGCAAAGAAATGAGCAGACATGAGCAAACTCACCCTTGCTGCTTAAACCTCTCAACATCTTCTCCAGGATTCCTGCCTCCAATCCAAAGAATCTGGCTAAAACAAGAAAAGTCTTTAAGTTCGGCAAAACAACAGCCCGTGGCTAACAGGGACACTGCATCCAAATCACCTGAACTGGGGGAAGTGCTTCGTGAAATGCGACAGGACCTCGTCTATCTGAACGGCCAGCTCTCGGGTGGGGGTGATGATTATGGCTCCAACCTGCCCACATGGAAGGAAGGGACACAGTCAGCAGCGCAAGGGCCTCCTGGAGAGGAACTCATAGGCCCTCCGCCCTCCACCACACAGAGAACTTCCAGAGAAACCGCAGTTACTGGGTGTTCTCAGCAGCATCCCTGAGCACATATCAACTACTTTGAATTACGGTTACTTGTCATCATACACTGCAGTTATGCTCTTTAAAGTCACTAACACTAAGAACACTGAATTAGTGAACGCTGAACCACTGCTCACAGGGGAAACACAGGGTTAGGTTCCTGCCAGTCTCTGGACATGACATTTTTGTCAACCAATCAATACATAACTCTATTTTATGTCTGTTTGTGCTTAAAAGACTCTATTTAATATATACTGTTGATTCATTCCTATTGAACTTGTGGCCAACAGCACATTAACTCATGCCTGAGCTTGTGCTTCTCTAGTGCGGGGATTCTCTCTGCACGTCATAACCTTCTTGCGCCCAGGAACACTAGACTGCATTACACCACGGAGCCATTTCAAAAACCAAAATCACCAACATAAAGCAACAAATGTGCAAAATGGCTGGGCACGCTGGCTCACACCTGTAATCCCAGCACTTTGGGAGGCCGAGGCCGAAAGATCACTTGAGCCCAGAAGTTTGAGACCAGCCTGGGTAACATGTCAAAACCCCTTCTCCTCAAAAAATACAAAAAATTACCCAGATGTGGTGGTCCACACCTGTAGTCCCATCTACTTGGGAGGCTGAGGCAGGAGGATAGCTTGAGCCTGGGAGGTGGAGGTTGCAGTGAACTGAGATCACGCCACTGCACTCCAGCCTGGGTGACAGAGCAAGACCCTGTCTCAGGTAAAAAAGGAAAAAAAAAGGTGAAAAACATAGCACTAAATAGATGACGAAAAGGACACTGTTTACACCTGAGCAGTAAAACAAAAGGCAGCTCTGCCCACGGCCATGACCACAGAAGCACCGAGGATCCACTGGGGTGTTATAAGTTTCAACGAGCAGGCAAATTAACAAATACAGAATCCACAAATAATGAGGATTGTCTTTTTTTTCTTCAAGTTTCATCATTCATTCATTCATTCATTCATTCATTATTGGTAGAGATAAAGTCTCATTGTGTTGCCCAGGCTGGTCTCAAACTCCTGGACTCCAGTGATCCTCCAGACTCGGCCTCCCAAAGTGCTGGGATTACAGGTGTGAGCCACGGCGTCTGATCTATTTTTTCTAAGTTTGTAGCCAGCTTCTTAATCCAATGTGAACTCTGATGACTAGGTGAAAATAAATCACTTTCACTGTCCTCACCTGACTCTTCTTTAACTTCTCTTCTCTTCTCAGAAGAATTTCCAGGATGGGGATGACAAAAGCGAGTGTTTTGCCACTACCTGTGACCTGCAAACAGAGAGTTTTGGTTTTCTTTTCTTCCTCAGAGTTCGTATGAGGGAAAACACAAGGACAGGCTGCACGTACCCGAGGCACTCACCGCTTCTGCAGCGACATCTTTGTTTCGCATGAACAGAGGGATGGTTGCAGACTAAAGGGAGAGATTGCAAAGCACCGGTTAAAGGATGCCATCACTTCACAGGTGAGAACCGAAGCCCTAGGAACATAATGGGCGGCTAAGGCCACAGTGGACCCCACCACAAAAGGGGCTATGAGTAACCAAGTCACCATAGAGAAGTTGAATCAAACATGGCAACTGTGTCTACATGGACGACGTGTGGGGACAGTGAGCTGAGCTGGGAGGTGGGAGTCCTGAATTCTATTCCTGTCTCTCCGACTTTCCCTCTCTGAACCAGGAAGGTGTTGAAGACATTGGGTTTTAGGGTCCCTTCCAGCTCTAGTATCACAGAATCAAGATTCAAATAAACCTTCTCATTTTAAGCACTGTAGAGGTCTCCAGACTTTACAAGAAACCTGGTTTTAGCAATCAAAAAAGCTAAACCTCAATTAGATTTAGGCCTTGGCCTCGCGGCTGCTCCCTCCAGGGTTCAGCCCTGGTCCCCAGGGCCTGAGCTCACTTAAATCACAGCAGATGTAATATTATTCCAACTGCCTCTACACAGTGATTTCTATACTCCCTATCAAGCCCCGAGGGAACATTTGGCAATGTAAGGAGACATTTTTGGTTGTCAAAACCCAGGGTGGGCCAGGCATGGTGGCTCACATCTATAATTACAGCACTTTGGAAGGCCCTTAACTCCCTTAAGGCCAGGAGTTCCAGACCAGCCTGGGCAACACAGGGAGACTATCTCTACAAAGAAAATTTTTTTAATTATGTGGGTGTGATGGTGCAAGCCTGTGGTCCCAGCTACTCAGGAGGCTAAGGTAGGAGGATCACCTAGGCCCAGGGAGGTCGAGGCTGCAGTGAGTTGTGACTGTGCCACCGCACTCCAGCCTGGATAACAGAGCAAGACCCTGCCTCAAAAAAATAAGTAATTAAATAAATTACAGCCAGAGTTGGGAGGTGATGTCCTCCGGTGGACAGATTCCAGTGATGCTGTTAAACATCCTACAATGCCCAGGACAGCCCCACAACAAAAAATTTTCCAGCACAAAATGTCAATAGTGCCGAGGGTGAGGACGCTGCTCCAGGCCACTGCTGTCCAATAGAAATAAAATGTGAACCATATAAACAATGTTAAATTTTCTAGTAGCCATAGTAAGAAAAGTAAAAAAGAAATGGGTGAAATAAATTTTAATATTTTATTTAACCCAATATATCAAAAATATTGTCCCTTCACATTTAATCGATATGTAAAAATCAACATTTTCCATTCTTTTTTCAAACTAGGTCTTCAAAATCCACTGTGTTGATACTCAAGAGTACACTTTGATTTGGACAAAGTGTATTTCAAGCACTCTATAGCCGTGTCTGGTGACTGTGTAGTGGATGATAGGTCTAGACAATGAGCTCTGAGGCTCTGAGGCTCTGAGGCCAGGTTCCCTAGGCAGGGAACACAGCACTCCCAGTTTCCATCTCCAGCCCTGTCTGCTGGAAATAGATTCTCCACATTCCCAGGAATCTTATGGGCATCTCAAACTCAAGGCTTCATTTATTTTCAAAAATTTTTTGCTATTACAAGGCCTTCCTATGTTGCCCAGGCTGGTCTTGAACTCCTGGTCTCGAGTGATCCTCCCACCTTAGTCTCCAAAAGTGCTAGGATTACAGGCGTGAGCCACCGTGCCCGGCCATTATTTATTTTAACTTCAGAGATGGGGGTCTCACTATGTTGCCCAGGCTGGTCTTGAACTCTTGGGCTCAAGGGATCCTCCCACCTCGGCCTTCCAAGTAAATGGTACTACAGGCGGGTGCCACTTAACACAGCTCAATGTTTAAAAACAGGACTCTTGTGGCCAGGCGCGGTGGCTCACACCTGTAATCCCAGCACTCTGGGAGGCCAAGGCAGGCGTATCACCTGAGATCAGGAGTTTGAGACCAACCTGGCCAACATGGTGAAACCCTATCTCTACTAAAAACACAAAAATTAGCCAGGCGTGGTGATGCATGCCTGTAATCCCAGCTACTTGGAAAGCTGAAATGGGAGAATTGTTTGAACCCGGGAGGCAGAAGTTGCAGTGAGCTGAGATCATGCCATTGCACTCCAACCTGGGCAACAGAGCAAGATTCTATCTCAAAAACATTAAAACAAAAACAAAAACAAAAAAAAACCACCCACACACACACAGAAAAAAAAACAAGAACTTTTGACTTTCCTTCTGAAACCTGCTACACCCTCCAGCCATTCTCGGGAAATGGTAACACCATTCACTTAGCTACTAAGAATAAGAATAAAAATCGGTGGGGTGCGGTGGTTCAGCCTGTAATCCCAGCACTTTGGGAGGCTGAGGCAGGTGGACCACGAGGTCAGGAGTTCAAGGCCAACCTGGCCAAGATGGTGAAACTCCATATCTACTAAAAATACAAAAAATTAGCCGAGCGTGGTGGCAGGCGCCTGTAATCTCAGCTACTCAGGAGGTTCAGGCAGAGAATTGCTTGAACCCGGGAGGTGGAGACTGCAGTCAGCCGAGATCGCGCCACTGCACTCCAGCCTGGGCAACAGAGTGAGACTCCATCTCAAAAGAAAAAAAAAAAAAAAGAATAAAAACTTCAGCTCCCTCTAGAGTCTTTTCTTTCCTAACCTCCACTTCCAGTCCCTTAGCAACCTTAAAGTTATTCCAAATGTGACTTCTCAATATCCACTGGTTCCACCTACTCCAAGCCACCATCATCTCTTACCTGACAATGGCCTCCTAAGCGACCTGCCTGCTTTGTCTCTTATGCCTGAAAAGGCCACTCTCTAAAGAGAAATCACAGCCCTTCCCTTCCTAAACATCTTCCCAGATAAGATGGCTTCCCACTACATTTAGAATGAAATCCAAGCTCCTACAAGACCCTACACAATCCATCTCTTGCACTACTCTTGATGTTCAGTCACAAAGGCCTCCTTTCTGCTGCTCAAACCATTTGCAGCCTGCCCCAGGGCATTTATGTGCACTGGTATTTCTCTCTGCTGGAATAATCTCCCCCTCGTCACCCGAGAGCCAGCTCCTTCTCAATCACTGAGGTCTCAGCTCAATGACACCTCCTCAGAGAGGCCTTCCTTAGCATCCTGTCTCACCTCCTCTCCAGTCCTCGAGTGACACTATCACAACAGTCTTAGTTCCTTCATAACATTTACTAGCAGCTGAAATTATCCTTTCTCTAGCTCCTGCATTAGAAAGTAAGGCTATGAGCAGATGCCAATACTGCAAACTCCCCAGAGCCTAGAAGAGTTCCTGACACATAGCAGGTCCTCAAGAAATACTTCTTGAAAAGATGCATAACAACAGGTAACCCTCACTGAGCTCCTATAGTGTGCCGATTGGTTTATTTAGTCCCCACAGCAACCCCATAAGGAGGGTGTTATTTTTTCGTCATTTCACAGAGAAGGAAAATGAAGCACATTGAGGTTAAGCCATTTGCCCGAAGTCTCACAGCTACAGGGGGCAGGGCTAGGATGAGAACCAGGCTCGAGACCCCAGCACCCGAGGGCAGGGTGGGTCGCGGCCCCTCTGCCGGCTCGCTGGCCGAGCAGCTCCGCATCCCGCCAGTCTGGGCAGCCTGGAGACGAGGCAAGAGCCCCAGCTGGAGGGATGCGCGCCCCAGGGCTCGGGTCTATCCGATCACCTCCGCTGTGTCCGAAGCAGCGGGTGCCTGCCCCCCTCCCAGCCTCACTCTCCTCCAGGAACCGATACCTGCACCGGCGTCATGTACGGGAAGCCCAGCTCTCGCAGCGCGCCCAGCACCCGCGGGTGCAGTGACACTGGCAGAGACTCCCAGGAGCCCTCCGTCACATGCTCCATGGCTCTCTCCTTTGCCGCCTCGGTCGCCGCTGCTCGAAGGCGCCCTGTGCACTCCCAACGAGCACTTCCGCTTCCGGCAGCTCCGGCGGCCGGCCGGGAACTTTGCTGTAGCAGCAGAGTTCCGGAGCGCTGCGAAGGCTCCAACGCAGCGGGAGCGAAGAAAGGCGCCCGCGGCACGGTGGAGGCAGGCGGCGGGGCAGGCTCGGGGAGTTACACCCGCCCCGCACCCCTGGGCTCCGGGCGCCTCTCAGCACCGGGCAAGGGTTTTGGCGGGAGGGAGTCTGGCCCGGCTCTCCCACTTTCTTTGTCCCTCGGAGGCAGGTGGCAGCACAGGACCGCGTCCAGGCCGAAGGACCGCGGGGCTGGCTGCCGTGGGCAGAGAAACGTGTCGGGGCCCCGGGTTAGCAGCTCTGCAAAACAGGCATCCGCTGATGGCGGGGGTCCGATGGCCGGTACATCCTGAATGTTGGTTTACTTTCCCGGAAGTTAGGGTCAGAGTCCTAAGTAAGAACACTGTCCTATTCCACTGTTCACAGTTGGCCTGGGCCATTCATGTCCACATACACCTTCACTCAGCAAGCTTTTATTGACCACTCATTACGTGCCCTCTATGAGGGCCTATCTCCTCCAGCTATGTGCATGACTTGCTCCTGTTGAGGCTCTGAAAACGAAACCCCAAAATGAAGACCCCAGAGGCAGCCTCAGAAGCAAGTTTCTCTCTGACCTTCTGCCCCGTCTCTGATCTCTGATTCTGTGAGGCTGGCCATAGAAACTCAAGAATCCCTCTTGCCCGTCATGATGGAGCATAGAAACGGGAACCCCTTTTCTCCAAAGTCAGCCATAAAACCTAAAAATATTACTCTAACTCTCTCTCTCCATCTTTCTGTGAAAAAACTGGCCATAAAGAAATTATCGGCCGGACGTGGTGGCTCACGCCTGTAATCCCAGCACTTTGGGAGGCCAAGGCGGGCAGATCACGAGGTGAGGAGTTCGAGACCAGCCTGGCCAATATGGTGAAACCCCGTCTCTACTAAAAATACAAAAATTAGCCGGGCATGGTGGCGCATACCTGTAAGTCCCAGCTACTCGGGAGCCTGAAGCAGAAGAAGAATCGCTTGAACCAGGAAGGTGGAGGTTGCGCCACTGCACTCCAGCCTGGGCGACAGAGTGAGACTCAGTCTCAAAACAAAGAAAAGAAAAAAAGAAATTACCTGGGCTGGGCGCGTGGCTCACGCCTGTAATCCCAGCTGTTTGGGAGTCCGAGGCAGGTGGATCACCTAAGGTCAGGAGTTTAAGACCAGCCTGGCCAAAGTGGTGAAATCCCGTCTCTATTAAAAATACAAAAAAATTAGCCAGGTGTGGCAGGTGCCTGCAGCTACTCCGGAGGCCGAGCAATGAGCATCGCCTGAACCTGAGAGGTGGAGGTTGCAGTCAGCCTAGATCGCACCACTGCATTCTAGCCTGGGCGACAGAGTGAAACTGTTTAAAAAAAAAAAAAAAAAAAAAAAAAAAATTCTGACCTCTTTTGTTTTGCTTGTAGGTTGTAAGACCCCATTACAGGAAGGGTTCTGTCCCCTACCCAGAAGAAAGGAATGCTGCACAGAGAGGCCGAAAAGAATCCAGACAGGCCTTGCTGGGTTTCCCCACTCAGTCTGTGAGCATTAGATCATGCCCTTCTTGTCCAGTCCTATTTCTACTCAGCTGTGCATATTTTGTTGAGCCTAAGCATAAAAATGAATAGTTTTCCCTGTAACTTTGGGTCTTAATTCTGAAGGTTCCTTTGTTGTGCAAAACCATGACCAAATAAATTTGCATCACTTTCCTCCTATTAATCTGCCTTTTTTCAGTTGAATTTTTAGAGAAACCTGAGGACAAAGGGGAAGTTTTCCCTTACACTCCCTTACATTCCACTTGGACTTCTGAAATCACCTTCTCAGTGTTACCTTCCTTTCCGCATCACTGAAACTCCTACCCTCATTTATTTTCCCTTCTTAGCATTTACCATTATCTTTCTTGCTACACACACACACACACACACACACAAAACTTACTAGGTTCATCTCTGCCACCAAAATGTAAAACCCACACTAATGGGGTCTTTTCTCTATCTTCTTTATCCCAGGGACTATCACTGTAGCACACAGCAATCACTCAAATATTTGTGGGATCAATAAATGGGAATACAACTCATGCAGACTGCAGTCATCTCAAATTAAGTAAAAGACAACAGCCTAAAGCCACATTTTCAATGAAATGATCATCACATTCTCAAAACTCTTCGACAACTATTATAAAATGGGACTTCGGCCAGGCATGGTGGCTCATGTCTGCAATCACAACACTTTGGGAGGCTGAGGCAGGAGGATCACTTGAGCCCAGGAGAATGAGGCCAGCCTGGGCAACATACAGGAGACTCTGTCTCTATGAAAGTAATTTTTTAATTAGCTAGGCGTGGTGGTGCATGCCTGTGGTCCCAACTACTCGGGAGGCTCAGATGAGAGGATCACTTGAGAGGTTAAGGCTGCAGTGAGCCATGTTTGTGCCACTGCACTCCAGTCCAGGTAACAGAGCAAGACCCTGCTTTTAAAAAACAAAAGATGTAATCCCAGCTACTGGGAGAGCTGAGGTGGTAGGATCACTTGAGCCCAGGGGATTGAGGTCAGTGAGCAGAGATCAAGCCAACACACTTCAACCTGGGAATAGAGATCCTGTCTCCAAAAAAAGAAAAGGGGGGCATTTCACAGACAGTTCTGAAAGCAAAGGCACAGAGAAATTGCGTGTCTGTGTGTGTCTTCTGGGCTCTACTACCTACTAGTTTTCTGACCTTAGGACCCATTCCAAGCCTGTTTTCCTCCTCACTTCCAAAATGATTTTACCCAAGGTAATGGCAGTTTTGAAGCATGAATAAGACAGACCAAGTAAAGTGCTTAGTACTGGATCAAGACATTACACAGTACTCAATAAATCGTAGCTACTTTTATTACCAGCAGGCCGTTAGTTTCACAGAGGAAGGAGTTTCTACAGGTGGTGATCTAGTCTCTGGTTCCACCTTTCACTCTCTTACCTGTGGCCTTGGGCACATCATTTAATCTGTCTTTAAAGCTATTTCCCACATTCATAAACCACGTGGGCGAGTGAAAATAATTCAACCCTTTCTTTTTTCCCAAATAGAAAAATACTTGAGATTTTAGCACTGATCCATCAGAGAAGCCTCACTGGAAAACCTGTGCAGAAACGAAAACTTGGTACCGTTCACTATCCTCAAGCTGATAGAATTAAAAAGTAACAGACATAATAGGCATAAATACTCAGAAAACATGGACATGTCTCATGTCAAATAAGAACAGAAAGTTGGTGTGTAAAAAATGTGAATTAACTGTCAATATATAAAACACAGAATACTGACTGTTTTTAAAAAGAATTGTTTATTTACTGAACCTGGGGCATATTAGATACAACCAATTTTAAATTTACATATTTTAAGTCAATTTTGAAGTGTTTCACACACAAAAAAAAAACTGGTATGCAACAGTTGTCCTAAGGTGAAAGTCACCTCATTAATAAACTGTTGCAAGTGTTCTCACCCAAGGTGGAAAAATTGCTTATCCTGAACATGAAAACCTGTAACAAATTTAAATTAATTATATAAAACTCGTTACTTGTAGTCTTCCCCTTGCAAAGATCAAAAAAAAAAAAAATGTACAAGTAACTAATATATATCAGTCACAACATAATCCTGGATCATCCCCATACCGAAACCAGATGCTCTTTTAATTTTAAACCCATCATCAGAGAACAAGAGAAAGTCATTTCATTTTACACAAAACAAGATTCACATGTGCCAAAAAAGAAAGACCCAAGAAAAACAAAAACCCAAACCCTAATGCTGACACTGATGTTCAGTGCCCTAAACAGTGGCCCAAAGGCCACTGATCAAAAATAAAATAGTGGCTGTATATCACTGCAATGAAATCCAAGAGGCTTTAACCCTTTGGCATCAGAAATCTGGATTTTTCCAATTATGTAAATGTTTATTTCCTACATGCCAAGAGTGGGGGAAGTGAATGTGCCAGTGTGGAAAGAAAAAGAGCCACCACTCACTGGGACACCCAGAGAATTGGCTTTAACAGACAATTAGAAGGTTAGACAGAAACCCAAAAATGGTTATTAGCTGCTTGTGTCATCAATTTAAGTGGAGATGATTAAGTCCTAAGGTATAATGTAAAAATGTGTGCGGGAAAATGTATGCTGAGTCGTACTTTTAAAGCAAAAGAAGAAAATAAAGTATGAAAGTACCCAGCCTGGCAGCATACGCCCAAGTCAGAGAGCTCTGCCATTAGGATGGGCAGAAACCGTCAAGATTCATACTGTTGTTTCTCATAAGGACTCAACAAAATGAATCTGTAGTGACTTGAACCACAGACTGAGGGAATCCAAAGAACGCAGTCATTTTAGTAAAGTACTATCAGGCTTTGTGCTGATTTCCTGAACAAACTGCATTATATTAAGAAAACAAAAGTAAAAGAAGTAATAAAAACTATACTCCCATATTTCACTTACAGTGTCTGAGTTCCTGGAAGGACCTATATAATGGAGGCAGCATTCAAACAAGAAATTATGCCAATCAACTGTCAAATTTGCACTATAATTTTCCTAAAAAGGTGTTTTTCCCCCAATATCTATTCATCACAAAGAAACATAAATTGTGAATGTACAGTTCAGAAAATAAAAATGGAGAAACTAATGACATTATTATGACCAAGGTGTTTGGTAAACAGTGAATTCTGAGTTGGGATCATCAGGAAGAGGCTTTTTAAACAACCCTCCGGACTTCAAAAAATCTCTTCAGGTAGTAGATCTGTCCCAATGTCATGGCAACTAGAACAAGAGCTTCAAAGAAGGACCAAAGGACCACTCTGCTGTTTGTGTTGTCGTTGACTGTTGAGGACAAAACAAACAAACAAAATTTAACAATTCTCCCCCAAAAAACATAGGCATCATATTCTAGTCTTCACTCTGTGTGAAAGTAATATTGTGTACACCATTCATAGAATAGATGTTCCTCAAATTAAGATGGGGTTACATCCCAATAAACCCAGCTTACGTTGAAAATACCTAAGTCAAAAATATATTTAATACGCCTAACCTAGCAAACATCATAGCTTAGCCTAGCCTACCTAAAACATGATCAGAACACTTACATTAGCCTACAGTTGAGCAAAAGCATCTAATAACACAAAGATTATTTTATAATAAAGTGTTGTATATCTCATATAAGTTAAACTGCATTTTATTATTATTTTATATTTTATTTATCAAGTTAGTGAACACTGTACCGAAAGTAAAAAACAGAATGGTTGCATGGGTACTTGATGCTCAGTTTCTTCTGAATGCACATCAGAATTTCTTCTTTTGCACCATCATAAAGATGAAAATTTCTAAGTGAAGTCATTGTAACCTATGGGTCACCTATACTGTAAATACTTTTGTCTCTGAGCAACTCAACATACTCAGAAGCAAATTTTTTTTGTTTCCTCTGTTGCCCAGGCTGGAATGCCATGACACAATCATAGTTCACTGCAACCTTGAACTGGACTCAAACAATCCTGCCCAAGTTGGTCTTGAACTCCCAGCCTCAACTGATCCTCCTGCCTCAGCCTCCCAAAGTAGAAGCAAAGATTTTTAAAAGAAACCTTAAAGATTCACTGGGTACAGCCAAGTCCATTCTGCTTGTATACAGGGAGCAGAGAAGAAAAGGTGACTTGCCCAAGGTCATAATTCTAGGGTTAAAACCCAATCCAACCATCTTTCTCCCTCACCATTGAAACGTCCTATATTAGTA